TCGACCACCCTCGCTAGTGGCCACTTCATGGGAGGTAGATTTTCATCCTTGACGAGGACCAGGTCTTTGACTGCTAAACTCGGCTTCTGAGTTCCCCACTTTGAGCGCTGCTGCAGTGACGTGATGTACTCCTCCTTCCACCGGGACCAAAAGAGCTGTTGAAGGTAAGAAACGCGCTGCCAGGCGTCAAGGCGATCGAAGTTTAGCTTCATGACATCAGGCTCAGTGAATGAAGCAGGAGGGCCGCCATTCAAGAAATGTGCTGGAGTTAAGACGTCAAGATCGGCAGGACTCTCTGAAATGGGAACTAAAGGTCTTGAATTAATGACTGCCGTGATGTGGCATAACAGCGTCCGCAGCTCGTCAAATCCAAGAACCGAATTGGCTATTGCTCGATAAAAGTGGTACTTGGCCGTCTTCTCTGCGGCTTCCCATAGGCCACCAAAGTGAGGCGAGCGCGGCGGGATGAAGTGCCAATCAATGGACTCAACCAAACAGAAATCCAGAACCGCCTTCTGATGATCGTCGCTGAGAAACAGGCGTCTTAGCTCCACGAGATCGTTCCTTGCACCGACAAAATTGGTTGCGTTGTCGGACCAAATTTGCCGTGGCTTTCGTCTGGTGCATATAAAGCGCTTTAGGCCGTGGAGAAAAGAGACTGTCGATAGATCCTTGATCAGCGCCAGATGAACGGCCTTGGTCGCGAAACAAATGAGGACGCAGACGTAGCACTTGATTGGAGCCTTGTTGCGTGCCTCCGGCTTGTAGAAAAACGGGCCACAAAAGTCTACGCCTGTGATCTCAAAGGCGTGAGAACCGTCTAGGCGCTCTTTTGGAAGATCCGCCATGATGTGCTCCAATATTCTAGGTTTCGTTCGAAAACATCTCACGCACTTGTTTACGGCCTTGTTAACTGTCTTTCTCCCCCAATAGGCCAATATTGGGATCGAATTAATCCCAGTAGAGCTCGAGGACCGGCGTGTAGATTCCGCTCATGAAAGTGAGAGATTATTGCGAGAGTAAGCGGATGGCTGCTGGGCAAGATGATGGGATGACGGCCATCAAAATCCAACGAAGAATTCTTCAGCCGACCATCAACTCTGAGGAGTCCAAAATTATCCATGAAAGGGCACAATGATGAAAGTGAGCTGGATGAGGCGACCACTCCCCTAGAGCGCAGTGACTTCATGTCTTCCCAGAGCTGCGTACGCTGGACCAGCCGCACCAATAGCTGGGTTCCACGTTCAATGTCAGAGACGGTGAGTCCAGGGTGCCGAATCCGGTTGCAAAATTTGTGAATGTAGCCAAAAACGCGTTGCATACTTGGATTTGGCTACAATGTCCAAGTAGGGTGATTTGGCTAAGAAAACCTTACGACGCAGCTCCAGGGTTGGCTTATCAGGCAACACCGTAGCTGGCCAGTCATCTGAAGAGCCGCAAAGAAAGGGAGGTCCATGAGCCCAAAGGGGTGACTCACTCAACTCGATTGGTAGAGCTCCTCGTGAAAGAATGTCGGCCGGGTTCAAATCTGTGGAAACAGAAGCAGGGAGAACACTAAACCTTTTAATAGACACTGGGGCGTCGAAAAATTATATCAAACCACTAAAAGAACTTGAGGGAAATGTCCCTGTAGAGGCCCCATTTGATGTAAAATCCCTGCACGGCTTCAATAAAATAGAGCACAAATGTTTCCTAACCATATTCGGCATTAAATGCCCGTTCTTTATCTTGCCGGAGCTGTCAACCTTTGATGGCATCATAGGGCTCGACACGCTAACGGAAGCTGGCATCGATATAAACCTGGCGACAAAAAATCTCCACTTTGGACAGAAATCTGAAAGGATTATATTCCGCAAATGCACCAGCGTTAACTTTACAAAAGTGGACGACATCGAGGTCCCGCCGGCGGTTAGGGACGAGTTTCTCAGAATGATGTCCAGCCTTATAAAGGCCTTCAACACAGCCGTAGTAGCCACAATTAGAACCGAGGATGAAGAGTCAATCTACTCGAAAATGTACCCCGTCCCTGTAGGAGCCACTGATTTCGTCAATGACGAAGTGAAGGACCTATTGCGGAACAAAATCATTCGGCCTTCCAGGTCTCCGTACAACAACCCCATATGGGTTGTTGGAAAAAAAGGCACTGACGACTCGGGCTCAAGCAGGAAGCGGATAGTCATAGACTTCCGCAAGCTTAACTCAAAAACTATACCAGACAAGTACCCGATGCCTTGTATCTCCATTATACTTTCAAATCTGGGGAAGGCAAATACTTCACTACCCTTGACCTAAAGTCAGGATACCTCCAAATCACGTTAGCTGAGCACGATCGAGAAAAGACCTCATTTTCGGTTAACGAAGGCAAATATGAGTTCTGCCGTTTGCCATTTGGTCTCAGGAATGCATCAAGCATCTTTCAACGGGCCATCGATGACGTATTACGGGAGCATATCGGTAAGATATGTTACGTGTATGTTGACGACGTCATAGTATTCTCAAGAAGTGAGGCGGATCATGTCAAGAGACATTGACACCGTGCTTGACAGTCTCCACGACGCGAACATGAGGGTGTCAAAGGAAAAGTCCCAGTTCTTCAAGGGACAAGTGAAATTCCTGGGCTTTGTGGTGTCAAACGAGGGAACGAGAACAAGCCCCGATAAGGTCAAGGCTATTCAGGGGCTTAGACAACCCTCCACCCTGTTTGCGGTAAGATCATTCTTGGTTGTTGCCAGCTACTACCGGTGTTTTATAAAAGACTTCGCTCAGATAGCAAGACCTATCTCTAGCATTCTGAAGGGAGAAAATGGTTAGATCAGCAAACAACGCTCGAAAGCCATTCCCATACAGTTTGATGAGGCTCAGAAACAGGCCTTTGATAAACTTAGGAACATTTTGGCATCGGAAGACGTCATCCTCCACTACCCAGACTTCAACCAACCGTTCGACCTAACCACTGATGCCTCATCCAGTGGCATCGGGGCGGTACTGTCGCAAAATTATAGACCCATAACCATGATTTGTAGGACTCTGAAAGACAGAGAACTAAACTATGCGACCAATGAAAGAGAGCTTCTGGCCATAGTCTGGGCCTTAGATACGCTTCGTCACTACCTGTATGGAAAGAGTGACATCAACATCTACACAGACCATCAGCCACTGATTTTCGCGGTTTCAGATAGAAATCCCAATTCCAAGATAAAACGTTTGAAGGCGAAAATTGATGAATGCGGAGCAATGATCTTCTACAAACCAGGCAGGGACAATTACGTAGCAAATGCGCTGTCACGACAAAACATCAATGCGTTAGAAAGCCAGAGTGAAGCCTCGCTCACTTACGTAATTGAAGCCACAGACAAACCAGTGAACTGCTTCAAGAATCAGATAATCCTGGAAGAGTGAAATATAAGCAGTTTTACTTCCTCTTCTCCGAAAAGACCCGTTACAAGATCGACTTTGCCAGTCGAGACACACTTCTTGCGTCCATCAAGGAAGTGGTAAAGCCTGGAGTCGTTAACGCCATCCACTGCACTCTGCCAACTTTGGCGTTTGTGCAAAACGATCTAGTAAAAGCCTTTCCGGACACAAAATTTCGATTTTGCAAGACCTTGGTGACAGACATCACCAACGACGGGGAGCGAAGAGAGATAATGACAGCTGAACACAATCGGGCGCACAGGGCAGCCCAGGAGAATGTGAAACAGGTACTGCGTGATTATTATTTTCCAAAGATGGAAAAAATCGCAGCAGAAGTGGTGATAAACTGCAGGATATGCCAGAAAGCCAAGTATGACCGGCACCCTAGGAAGCAGGAGTTAGGGTTGACTCCAATTCCGGCAAGGGTAGGCGAGTTGATTCATATCGACATCTTTTCCACCGCAGGGAGTACTTCCTCACTGCAATTGACAAATTTTCAAAGTTTGCAATAACGCAGCAGATTGCTTCACGCACGATCACAGACGTAAAAATACCAATTTTACAATTGGTTAACACCTTCCCAGCTATTAGAACCATCTGCTGTGACAATGAGGCAGCTTTCAATTCAGAGACCATTCGGTCTTTATTAAAGAACCAGTTCGACATTGATATAGCGAATGCCCCACCGTTGCACAGCACATCAAACGGACAGGTGGAACGCTTCCACAGCACCCTCTTAGAAATAGCCAGGTGCTTAAAATTGCAACGCCAGGTGGACGATACGGTTGAACTAGTTATTCTAGCGACCATCGAATATAATCGAACCATCCACTCTGTCACAATCAAGACACCTATGGATGTGGTCCACGCAAGTTGTGACCTTGGGGAAGAAATTATGTTGAAGTTAATAAAAGCCCAACAAGAACAGCTAGATAGGAACAGCCCGACCAGGCAAAATAGGACCTTTGATGTAGGCGAGCAGGTCCTAGTGAAAACCAATAAGAGGTTAGGGAACAAACTAACTCCCCTCTGCACTGAACAAAAGGTAGAGGCAGACCTGGGAACCACCGTTCTACAATTTGAGGTAGGTAAGGAATTAGGTCTAGGAAACGAGGATTCATAGCACTTAGTTCAAGTCCACTAGGACAAGTTATAGTAGGACTATTAAGAGTTTTTAATAGCCGTTGAAACTCGTTTGACTTAAAGAAAAAGGTCTAGCGTTTCAATGAGAAATGTACAATTAATTTTTATTGGGAATTAAAGTAGGCGTTAGTATGAGCGATATAATAAAGCGATGCGATTGATACGAAGATTATCTCTCAACTGGCTACAAGGGCACATGGGCCGACTTGCCAGCGCCCTATGCAGCAAGTGTTAAAGAGAGCGAAAACGAGCGATGAAAGGAGAGCAGATCGGGGCAGATGCTGAGCCGAGCACGAACGTCATATGGAACGCGAGAGACCAGCTTAGATGCTGCAACTGCAACAACAAAGCGAAGAAGGCGAGATAAAATGAAAGAGCGGCCGCTGCCGTGCATAACATGGGCTGATTAACAGTGATTGGTACAGTGCAAATAATGAACATAATTATTTAGGCTGCTTGACCCGACATACTCCCCCCGTTGGAAGCCTGACTTTCAACAGCATCTTTAAGGGAAGCAAACACAGCTTGTTAACGGCTCGCTTGGTGATTCCAGTTGCAGTCCTCAGCACAGCGACTCGGGCGACGCCATCTCCTCCAGGTAGTAGTTCGACCACCCTCGCTAGTGGCCACTTCATGGGAGGTAGATTTTCATCCTTGACGAGGACCAGGTCTTTGACTGCTAAACTCGGCTTCTGAGTTCCCCACTTTGAGCGCTGCTGCAGTGACGTGATGTACTCCTCCTTCCACCGGGACCAAAAGAGCTGTTGAAGGTAAGAAACGCGCTGCCAGGCGTCAAGGCGATCGAAGTTTAGCTTCATGACATCAGGCTCAGTGAATGAAGCAGGAGGGCCGCCATTCAAGAAATGTGCTGGAGTTAAGACGTCAAGATCGGCAGGACTCTCTGAAATGGGAACTAAAGGTCTTGAATTAATGACTGCCGTGATGTGGCATAACAGCGTCCGCAGCTCGTCAAATCCAAGAACCGAATTGGCTATTGCTCGATAAAAGTGGTACTTGGCCGTCTTCACTGCGGCTTCCCATAGGCCACCAAAGTGAGGCGAGCGCGGCGGGATGAAGTGCCAATCAATGGACTCAACCAAACAGAAATCCAGAACCGCCTTCTGATGATCGTCGCTGAGAAACAGGCGTCTTAGCTCCACGAGATCGTTCCTTGCACCGACAAAATTGGTTGCGTTGTCTGACCAAATTTGCCGTGGCTTTCGTCTGGTGCATATAAAGCGCTTTAGGCCGTAGAGAAAAGAGACTGTCGATAGATCCTTGATCAGCGCCAGATGAACGGCCTTGGTCGCGAAACAAATGAGGACGCAGACGTAGCACTTGATTGGAGCCTTGTTGCGTGCCTCCGGCTTGTAGAAAAACGGGCCACAAAAGTCTACGCCTGTGATCTCAAAGGCGTGAGAACCGTCTAGGCGCTCTTTTGGAAGATCCGCCATGATGTGCTCCAATATTCTAGGTTTCGTTCGAAAACATCTCACGCACTTGTTTACGGCCTTGTTAACTGTCTTTCTCCCCCAATAGGCCAATATTGGGATCGAATTAATCCCAGTAGAGCTCGAGGACCGGCGTGTAGATTCCGCTCATGAAAGTGAGAGATTATTGCGAGAGTAAGCGGATGGCTGCTGGGCAAGATGATGGGATGACGGCCATCAAAATCCAACGAAGAATTCTTCAGCCGACCATCAACTCTGAGGAGTCCAAAATTATCCATGAAAGGGCACAATGATGAAAGTGAGCTGGATGAGGCGACCACTCCCCTAGAGCGCAGTGGCTTCATGTCTTCCCAGAGCTGCGTACGCTGGACCAGCCGCACCAATAGCTGGGTTCCACGTTCAATGTCAGAGACGGTGAGTCCAGGGTGCCGAATCCGGTTGCAAAATTTGTGAATGTAGCCAAAAACGCGTTGCATACTTGGATTTGGCTACAATGTCCAAGTAGGGTGATTTGGCTAAGAAAACCTTACGACGCAGCTCCAGGGTTGGCTTATCAGGCAACACCGTAGCTGGCCAGTCATCTGAAGAGCCGCAAAGAAAGGGAGGTCCATGAGCCCAAAGGGGTGACTCACTCAACTCGATTGGTAGAGCTCCTCGTGAAAGAATGTCGGCCGGGTTCAAATCTGTGGAAACATGATGCCATTCCATTTTTTCAGTCAGTTCCTGTATCGTTGCCACTCTGTTTGCGACAAATATATTGAATCGGGATGGCTCGTCCCGAATCCAAGAGAGCACAACAGCCGAATCACACCAACAGTAGCACCTTCCTTTGAAGACACTCATTCCTGCTACCTCAGATATGAGCCTAGCTAGCAATTCCGCTCCACAAAGCTCCAGCTTTGGTATGGTTAGTGTTTTCAATGGAGCAACACGAGATTTTGCGCAAAGTAAGTGACTGCTGGATCGCTGACCCTTCGACACAACATAAATACAGGCACCATAAATAGAGGCTCGCGTCGCAAAATCCATGAATTTCTAACTCAGAGTTCGGAATGAGCACAAGCCGAGGAAATTCATAACGCCGAATCTGGCCAAAACTACTGCATATTTCCTGCCACGAGGTGTTGAGTGCGGATGGCAAGCTTTCATCCCAGGATAACTTTTCTTTACACAACTGCTGGAGAAAGATTTTTGATTTTGTAATGATAGGTCCAGCTAATCCGAGGGGATCGTAGAACCGAGCTATTGTTGACAAAACGGAACGCCTGCAGGGACGCGAAGATGACTGTAGGGCCGAAAACGAGAATAAAAGCTGATCAGAAACCGGATCCCAGGCAAGTCCTAAAGTTTTGGTGAAATTGCTGCCATCGTCGAACTTTAAAAAGGTTTCCTTGTCCTGTTCCGGAACTCCATCGAGCACAGCAGGCACGTTCGAACACCATTTCCTCAACCGGAACTGACCTCTCGACAAAATTCCAGTGGTTTGCTCACGAATGTGGATAGCCTCATCCTGAGAGCTGGCTCCAGATATCAAGTCATCGACGTAAAAGTCCCGGCAAAGAATCTCAGCCCCAACAGGAAACGCTACCTGCTCATCCATTGCCAGCTGATGCATCGCCCGCACTGATAAATATGAGGCAGGCTTCGTCCCATAAGTAACGGTGTCAAGCTTAAACACACGCAAATCCTCTTGCATAGAATTCCTCCACAGAATACACTGCAAGTTACTATCCTCGGGTGAGACCCTTACACACCGGTACATCTTGCAAATATCTCCCGTTATCGCAACTGCATATGACCGAAATCGAGTGAGAATATGGAAAAGCTTGGGTTGGATTACAGGACCGGCCATTAAGACGTCGTTCAGGGAATAACCGGATCTTCATGCTGCCTGCATCGAAAACGACCCTCAGCTTGGTTGTCGAGCTATCTTCCTTTCTGATGCAATGATGAGGCAAAAAGTAGCGGCAGCAGCTGATTGACTCGGCAGGAACCAAAGACATATGACCTAGATCAAGGTACTCTTTTATGAAAGCAGCATACTGAGATTTCACATCAGGGCGATGATCTAACCTCCGCTCAAGAGATAAGAATCTACGTTGAGCTTGTTGATAAGATTCTCCCAAGAGATCCAAGTTATATTTAGCTGGCAGCCGAACACAATAATCGCCAATTTGTAATCGATGTAAATGTTGAACAAAGTGAGCCTCACAATCTAGCTCTTCTTTCGTAGACTTTACAATGGGCTCCATGCAATTTTCTACCTCCCAAAACCGTCGAAGCAGTACCTCAAGTCGCTCTTCTAGGTTACTATTGTCAGCAACTGCGGCCGCAGCACGCGACACAATCAAAGAAGATCCCTTTACCGGAGAATAACCTCCAGACACGACCCATCCCAAACGAGTTTTCTGAATTGATGGCAATCCTGGCAGTTATTTGACCTGACCAACACAAAGAAGCTCGTAGAACAGACTGGCGCCAATTAAAAGATCGACACGCTGAGGTCTATGAAACTCTGGATCAGCAAGAGGTAGGTTTGCTGGAATGTTCCAGTCGTGAGTGTTTATTCCGTAACATTTGTTGACGATCGGTTATGTTAGAGGCTACAACAGCAGTGATGAGAGTTGAGTAGTCCGTCGAGCGAGAGTGCAGGCTTATGTTGACCGAAAATCCATCCGTGACGAAGCTTGAATCACCTATTCCAGATACTGCAGTCGATGATTTTATTTTTCGAAGCTGAAGCTGATTTGCAAAACGAGAGGTTATAAGGTGCAGCTGAGAGCCGGAATCAAGCAAAGCTCGGCAGGGGCACAATACGGCAACCCTGTGAGATTACACTCTTTTTGCGAGTCGCTCCGTCTGTTTAACTTAAAAATCGGTTTAAACCAGCAAATTAAACATCTACTAGCGCGTTTAACACATAGTTACGAGGCACAAATCATTTCAACTACGAAAGAGGAACATAAAATAACTAAAACTACGTCTGTTCACAATTTAATTTGCCCGGGAGGCAATTACACAAGCACATACACAGCAATAGCCAAAACCAAAGCATACACAAACAAAAATAAACTCTCACTCACTTTCAAGCAACACTCAAAAATAAACGGTTAATCACTCAAAAATACAAAAAACACACAAAAACACTCAAAATGCCACCAGCACCAAAACGCCAGCGGGAACAAACGTCTACGGACCTGAAAGTCGCTCGTTCGTGGGAAGCCCCTTCCCCCCTCTTGGTCCAGCTCATCGAACAGAAGATGAGTGAGCAGCTCCAGCAAATCACAGACAGCATTAGGCAATCTGAGGATCGCATTCTGCTTGACCTTCAGGATAGGCTGAAGGTGATGACCGGAGAAATCAAAAATCTCACTCAGCGGGTACACCATCTGGAGTCGGAGGTTGGTGTGGTCCAACAATTGAAAGTTCGGGTTCTGGAGCTGGAGACCGAAGTTGGAGAAATGCACGCACTGCGGGGACAGGTGGGCGAGATGGAGGTAAAACTGGCCGAGCAAGCAAATCAAAGCATTGCTTGTGACCTGCGGGTACACGGTGTTCCTCTTAGCCAGGAGGAGAATCTGAAAACTCAATTTCACTCACTGTGTTTTGCTTTAAAGCTCACACCGGCACCGAGAATTAAAGAAATTTTCCGCATCACACGGCACAACAAAAACGCTGCCACTGATCCAACTATAATTGTTAAACTGGAGCACGTGCGAGATAAGGCCGCTCTGTTGCGAGCAGTTGGCAATTATCGGCGGGAGCTTAAACAACCGCTAACCCTGCAGCTTTTGGGTATAAACTCTCAAGCTGCCTTCTACATTAACGAGCAGCTCTCAAGAGAGACGTATGAAATCTTTAAAGAGGCAATGCGCTTAAAAAAGCTCAAGTGTCTCTCTTCGGTTTTCACACGTCGTGCAGTAGTGCATGTAACTCAATCTGCGGGAGCGGAGGTAATGATGATATTTAATTTGAAAGAGCTCCATGCATTACGCGTCCAACCTCCCTTAATTAATGCTAATACTAGGCACAGTGAAGAGAATAGAGAAGAGCAGGCAAATACTCATAAAAATGATGATAGCTTTCGCTAAACCGATGCTCTCCTCTGCTCTCTTACCTGTCAAGTTCAGTGTTAGTTATGTAAGTACTATATGTTTCGCATTAAATGTTTTGTTTATATATTTATACCTAATTTGTAAATTGCGTGTGCTACTGATAGGGAAAATATGCACACTAATATAAGAAGATCCACAGAGAATAGCAACACAATTATCAAGGTTCTTGCTAAGCAGAAAATCGGCTTACAAATATGCCATATAAATGCACAAAGTCTTTGCCAAAAAATTGAAGAGTTCAGGTATTTGTTTGTGAAGTCCAACGTAGATGTAATATGTGTCTCTGAAACGTGGTTTGTCTCTCAACTAGACGATGTCTTGATCACTTGTGACGGCTATGATTTATATCGATCTGATCGAGAAGGTCATGCAGGTGGGGTTGCAATATACACTAACAACAAACTAAAAACCAAAGTAGTAAGTAAACAACCCAGTGGAAGCGCAATAGAGTACTTGTTTCTTGAAGTCACTGGTAGAGGGAGTTCACCAAATATTCTTATTGGCTGTCTTTATAGACCTAATCGTTCTACTGACTATTCAGACGCAATTGACACAATTACGACTCTATCTTTAAGTTACGAAGACACAGTCATAACTGGAGACCTTAACAGCAATATGCTAACTGAACGACACCTTGCCGATGCAATGTCGTCTTTGGGTTTAAACCTTGTTAATTCGTCCATGCCAACACACTTTTCTAATACTATTAATACGCTACTAGATGTTTTTTTCGTTAGTGATATTAATAAAATTCTATTATATGACCAAATTGACGTACCAGTATTTTCTAAGCATGATTTAATTTACCTGACGTATGAATTTAACCCACATCTGACTGACCAAATCATTTATTTAAGGGACTTTAAGAACATTAATATTAGGCTACTT